CTTTTATAGTCGTCCGACAATAGGTGTCCGTATATCAACTTACAACAATATATAGTTAAACATTAACACCCTTCCTCAAGAACAATGATAAAGGTCAGCGAAAGAAGAGCTGTCATCCCTAACCGGAAGTACGGACCACTGCTCGCGAACCACCGGATGCCACGACTATGTAACGGACATCATGGGGGAATAAGACAGGTGTGTGAGGTAAAAAACGAACAAGAAATTTATTTTTGACGATGAGTTTAACACTTTTGACAGAATGGAGATTTAAGTTTCGGCAACTGGAATAATTAGTCAAACAAGATAACTGTTTGAAATAATTACAGGCAATTTAGCTTTCACTGCGGTAGTTAGTTTCTCAGATTGACATTTAACATTTAAAAAATAAGCGGCAAGATATTTTTAGACGCTTAAATGAGGAAACTTGAAAAATTCCCATATTTTCCAGAATTTTGTTTGGAACATAAACTTATATTTGTTTGGATCATAAACTAAAATATGAAGTTGTTTATTTTATATTTAAAGCAACTTTTTAGTAAATTATAAATAACTTTTTCAAATTTAGTCAATAATAATCACGGGCGCCGACTAGATATACTACAAACGTTGAAATTTTCTAATTTCAAATCAATTTAATTGAAAATAATATACTTAAGGTAAAAAAAAAATAATAACTTAATAATATTTGAAATTTCGTGTTTATTCTAATCTTTTTTAATAACACTGCATTTTTTAAAATCATTTTTAATGTCCCAAAAATGTCTTAAATTTCTATTCTAATTTCCCCTTCAAGAAAATGGATCAAATTTATTGTTTAAATTGTTCTAAATATTTTGTTTTTCCATTTTTCAAATTAATCCAGAATTAGCTTTTGGTGAAAGACTCCGTCAAATATCTCAAATACTTTAAAACGACAAAACATTCTACATAAACTTTATATATTCAACTACTAGAATTAATGAAACCAAAAATTTCTTGAATTTTTTTTGTGAATGGTCATTTAATTTCATAAACATTTTGAAGTATCAGATTTCTAATCCTGGCAAAAAAAAGGCAATTCTACTAATGTGGAAAACATTGTACTTTTTTATCCTTTTTTTTTGGTCCACGAACTTGGAAAGATTTTTATTAGTTAAATCAATGCATGGGTCGGATAGATTATTTATTCAGTTTCAATTTGCTTTTTTTATGTTCTCTTTACGTTAATTTGTAGCTGAAATAACTCACTTTTAATAAAAAAGATCTTTCTTGTCTTTGATCAACGATATCTCAACAACAAATGACTACACAGAGAATGTAAGGATAGTTTCAAAAACAGAAATAAATTTTCCACAAGATTCATTTACGTTTTTTAAAAAAAAAAATCTTTGTACTTTTATCATTGTGTTAAAGAAAAAACAAAAAAGTAACTTTTTTCGTTATTTTAGTAAATCTAACACGTATTCACAAATATTGATGGGGAGACTAATGTGTTCAGATTTTTAACAGTTTAATGTAAACTTTTAAATGTATCCATCAAACCGTTTTCTTAGACAGATTGATCAAAATTTTACAAAAGAATTTAAAAAATTAATCGTTTCTAAACATTGTGTAATCTTCATTAAAATGAAAAAACAATTTTTCCAAATTCTTTTACGTTAGATTAAAAAAAATCGATAAAATCTCAAAACATTTTTTTATTTGTAAAAAACAACAAGAAACAATGCTAATTTTTGAGGCCATTCAGCATACTCTAATTTTACTCATACCAAATTAATCGCATTAGTTAAAAGTTGATACCACAGCACTCAAACATTCATGCAAATTTTCAAAAAAACGTCAATTTTTTATAGTTTCGGAATTTTTTTTCGAATTTAACAGTAGTGTATTATTTTTCCAAACTCAACAACTTGAAGCATTTTAACTTTGAACATGTACTATTTCTTTACACTTTTTATTGCATGCATACATTACCCCCTTTTGTATTTCTTACTGTTATTTTTTTTTTTCTTTTTTTTCTTTTTTTTTCTTTTGTACTATACGAAAAATTAAATTGTTTTTAAATGTTCCAAACATTAAATTTAGGAAAAAATTGTTTTTTCGCGCAATTGTTCTCAAGTCATGCAATTATAAAAAATCTGAAAAAAAACCTTTTATGTTATTTGTATTTTTAAAGCCTATTAATTGATCAGGTTTTTGTTTACGCATCCCTGTCAATAATAACTCAAACTTTTGCTTTATTTCATGATTCATCCAACAAATTTAACTTTTCATAATATAGTTTAGAGTTTAATGAAAATCAGAACGTTGTTTCTGACACCACAAAAGTTGATTAGTTTAATTTTTAGAAACAATTTGGGTTCTATGAAAAGTATCATTATTATTCAAGCCGTTATCCTTTTGTTAATTAAACGCACCGAGTAAAGTAATGAGAGCTTTTCCGGTAATATTCCAGACGCTACATCACTTAGCAATATTTTCAATGAAATGAAATTAAACAACACTTCTCCAACCCTAACACAATATCAAGTCAATTTATCTCAAAAACGTTCCTTTTTCCGACATCGAGTCTCAAATATGAGAGAGAGCGTGAGATGTATCCGAAATAACCGAGTTAAGAATAAGCAAAGTATTATAATATGCTATGCATACTTAATGCCCGTGAAATGTTTTACTCATAATTCTATTACAAGACCAGTAAAATATTGCAGCGAATATTTTACACTAAATAAAGCGCCATTTATGGCATGCAAATTGTTTTTTCTTCCCCGCTTCCAACCCACATTTAAGAAACAGTTAAAAAACTTATATCGAGCAAACCCTTAACATTTAATGAACCCTTCAAAACTCATTCGTAGTAGAATTATTCCTAATGCAAGCATTAGTTTTTCTACCAAGGGATTGTTTCCCCGTTAATGTGTGCTGCTGAAACATTTCCAGTTCTGTGATTTTTCACGAAAAAATATGTTAAATCCATAGTTTTCTTATTCGAAACGAATGAAAATTTGTGTAAAAAATATGCAAATTCGGTTAAATTGGTGCTGAGTTTAAAATCGCTCCAAGGAATTGAATTTATATAAATTTAGCTTGAATCTAAATGCGTCGGAAACCGGGATATTTCTGAAGAAAAATAAACGCGACGAAGATTTTTTTAAACAAAACGTGTCGTTAAATTTACTCTGGTAATTATGAAACCACCCAATTTTTAACGTTTTATATTTACCAGACAGGACCATGAATAATTAAACGTATTTCATTAAATGCTTCGTATTGTATTGATTTGTGCATATTTTATTAATTTTATTCACCAGCAAATATTTATGTAGATGAAATGTTGATATCGTAATTGTCAAACTTGAGTAGTTACAACTGAAACATAAAATCACGAATTTCTCATTTTCACTATATGGGGTGTCCCAGAACTCGCGCCCCAGAAAAAATGCCAAGTAAAGTAAGATGAAACATGGAAAAAATGTTAAAAAAAAATTCTATCTATAAAAATTTCGATACTATGGGAGTTTCATTTCTGCACTTTGACCCTATTTATAATCAGAAAATAGCTATTTATGCAACAAGTTGCAAATGAGCGTGTTTTTCACAGTCGTGTGCAAAAACACCTATTTTGCATCGTGATCGCAACAAGATTTTTTCCAATTTTAACTTTAAATCTGTGATTTCATTAATTTTCAAAATCATACTAATAATATCGTGGCGTTGTCATGAAAATAGAGTTATTTGTTGTCTTTTTGTTACACTTTTTAACACTAGTGATAAAATTAAGCGCATTTGACAACTAAAATGACATATATCACAACGAATACTTTTCACAACCAAATTGGAAAAATAATTTTATTGCCAAAGTTTTTACATCTTTACTGAATAATTATAAAAATAAATACAAAACCATCAATAACATTAAATAGACATAAAAAAGTCAAATGTCAATATTTTTTGACAGAATGAATTTTTTTTGAGGCTCGAATTCTGAAACACCTGTATGTACAAACACCCAAGAAATACTGGGTGTAACGAAACGATAAAAACAAAAATAAACCTAAGATTCCCCAGACCAAAAAAAGCGATTTAGGTACATACTTACCTATTGATTTTTTTTAATTTCAAATTAATTTAATTGAAAAAGGTAAAACAAATAATAACTCTTAATAATATTTGGATATTTGTATTTATTCGAATCTTTTTTTAGTAACATTGCATTCTTTAAAATCACTTTTAATGTCGCAAAGAAAATTTCTATTATTAAAATTTCCCCTTTTAGAAAATAGTTCAAATTTATCGTTTAAATTATTCTGTGTATTTTGTTTTTCCATTTTTCACATTAATCTAGAGTTGGCTTTAGCTGAAAGACTCCGTCAAAAAAATATCAACTTAACACATTTTAAGTCACATTTGTGATATACGTAATCTAAGTGGCGTAATTCTTTTTTTATGCAAAAACTACATTATTTTTAAACAATTTTTGTACCTTATAAATTTTTGTATCGGCCTTGGTTTCCGAATAAAAAAATAATTTAAGTAAACGTGTCACAGTTTTGGACGTTGGTCATTTATTATCATTTTTAAAATTGTATTAAAAAATTTTAAATTTTAGTTTCTTTCTGTATGCTTGTCTTAGTTAACAATAATGTAAATATTATTAATTTAAAAAAAAATCATAATCTTCTCGTTACACCCTGTATAAAAAATAAATGTATCATCAATTTTCACTAATTATTTCACTCGTAATTTACAACAGCTCCACATGTGTTTACATGTTTTCGAATTAATTAATTTCACGGTTATTGTGTTTAGACGAAATAAAAAAAAAACGCAAAATTGGTTTTATCATCTAGCACGTGTCAACAACATTTATAAAAGAATTAAATATTTCTCCAATAAATTAAAAATAAATTGATATTTTCTAAAAATTTTGATTGTTTTTGTGCCGTGACGAAGAGAGTGTTAAAATAAATATGAGTCACTCGATCAAAAATAAATCGAAATCGCTGCAAATCGCTCACCTGCATGTTGCAGAACCGCGAGCACAACCACCCAAATGGCCAATTTTTTCATGTCATCCATTTCTCGAGCCAGTTTTTTCACAATTACTGAAATTCACATGCCGGTACACAAAATCGAGTTCTATTTTAAAATTTGGCAGTTCGTGACTGAAAAATGCTGCGGTCGAGCAATCACTGAAAAATCGAATCGCGACACTGAAAAATAATCCTGAAAAAGCTCATGATCGCATGCGGCTTCGACGCGGTTTCGTTCAGTGCAGGCCGCACACTACTAACGACAGCGATCGGAACGGAACTGAAGACTCGCACAAAAGAACACCGACGACCTGCACACATGCGCCCCAAATTAACAGGTGCCTGAAACGATAGGAATGGACAGGGAGCCGAATCAAACACACTTTTCTTACAGCTACTTTATTAGTTATTTGTATGATACAAGGTCTCAAAGGGGCACCAATAAATACAAAATGATAGTTCAGTAACATTGACATACAGTAAAAATATAACAATCTACAATAACAGGTGGGAACTTTATTAAATTTATGTTTTCCGGTACAAGAATCTCAAATTTCCTCTCCAGTTTGTCTTAAAATGTTAACCATATAATAAAAATATACTTGAAGTAAATAAATGATGAAAATATATTGAGTACGATTCCATTAACCAACCAAATATTCATCTTGATTGCTAGCTTAGTAACGACCGAATTTCTTTGTGCATGTGTATTAAAAAATCGACGTAACTGGGAGATCCATCTGTTCCACGATCCTCAGCTAAGAAATGTTTAAAAACGGGCTCCAACTTCTCCCTTTGTCGAACAATAGTTAACTGGAAAAAAACTCACTTTAACAACGACGACAACAACAACAACAACAACGACAACAACGACAACAACAACGACAACGACTAAGACTAGGAATTTTTACCGAAATATGTACCTTTAAATATGTATAGAAAATTATACAGTATATTTCCGGATTGAGTTTACAAGAGGAAAAAAAATTATCTTTGATTTTTAATTTAATTAAAACTTTATTATTCTAACTAAATAGAAAAAAAATCATTTTTCTGTTGATTTTAGACTTAAAATAATTTTTCCCTGCATTGGCGGTTTAATTTTTTTTGACAATGATGTTATTTTAACAAATGAGTTAAATAACAAAAATTTGTGAAAAACATAATTTTAATAAGTGGCAACTCAAAGAAACAGCTTTAAGAAAAAAAACAAAGTCATTTTAACAAGAACTAAATGTCATTATTCAATTAATAAATTAATTGTCAAAGTAACTTATAGTTGTCAAATAAATAAAACCGCCAATGTGTTAGGATTAAAAAGCAAAGAAAATTTATTCAAAGTTCAATATCAAGAGAATAATCAACTTTTTTTTCCACTGAATCAGAATAATGAAGTTTTAATTACAGATTTGCTGGTTTCAGGTGAAGCAAAAAATATTTTTCCTTTGCAGTTTTGACGAAAAATCAAAGATATTTTTTTTCCTTTTGTAAACTCAATCCGTGGACATACATACTGTATATGTATAACTACAAATTAATATCAATAATAATTATCAATATTCCGATAAATGACGATATTATCGTTTTAGCACAAGTTATTTTGTAATCTCTATACATAACAAAAAAACATGTATTTTTTAACTTTTTAAACCATTTATTACTGTCAATTATCGATAAATAATATACAGAGTGTTTCACACAACTTTACGAGGCTTGTGCCTAATGTACGCACCCAAATAATACAAAAGTCAGAAAACACTAGATACAAAAAATAGACATTTATTAATTATTTAATTTTTGGAAACCCATGACAGTAGTTTTCAAACTAATCACTGTTTCATTAATAGTCATAAACTGCAGTTTTTCAAGAACAATTATCATTTGTTCTAACAAGAGACGGCATGAATATATTCTAGTTTATCTATCATAATTAAGAGGGCGGAGTTTAGGATACATGCCTTTTTGTTTAGACTTAAACTCTCGATGAACGAGAGTCATCTTTTTTTGACAAACTTGTTTTAAGCTCCAAAGTCCTAAATTGACGGTTTAGTTTCTAAAACATCGTTAGTGTTCTTTTTTTAAAACTTTTAGGATTCATTATCGTTTTTAAATCAATTTTATGAATATAAAATTAACAAACTCTTTTTAGAGAAAACATAGACAGTTACATAACGAAATTTTAATGCCATGTTGTTAGTTCTATTGTCCTGTTCTAGGATTTGTTCTATTTTTGGGTCCTAATTTTCAACTTTCATGGTTTCATCTCTATTGATAAGTTTATTGCAAATAATATTTAGATGGGTATTAAAAAATCGTATAATTCCTGAAATGACTACTGAAAATAGTACTAAAAGATGTAATTAATAAAAACCGGAATTTTTGGGGACGTTAAAAGTTGGAAAACAGGGCTGAAAAAACTAAAAATAAGACAAATCTTAAAACAAGACATGAAATAAAAAATCAATAATATCGCAAATTACCTCAAAGTTTTGTAAAATGTAATAATTGTAGTATTTAGAATTATTGTATGAAACTCGTAGTCTCATACACCAAATGATGACAACACAACTAACAACATGGCAGTAAAACTGCCTTATGTAATTGTCTTTTTTGCAAAAAGAGTTCGTTAATTTTGTATTACCAAAAAAAAAAAAAAGAATTGAGTTAAAAAAGATATTAAATCCTAAAAGTCTTAAACAAGAAACGCTAATGATGTTTTAGGACCTAAACGATCAATTTAACACTTTAAAACCTAAAAATTTTTTTTCAAAATGCCATATTTTACCTAAAACGAGCTTCTAGATAACTCTCGTTTATACTTTAAGTCTAAACAAAAAGGCATTTATCCTAAAATCCGGTCTTTATTAATCACTAACTAAAAAAGTTATTTTTTTTGAAAGAGTGAACAAACTAGAAAAGATTATCCAATTTTTAAAAATTTGTAATCGAGTTCGTATCGGAATATGTATTATTGATTGCATTTTACTCGCACAATTATGTAAAACACCCTCTACCTCTATACATTTTTTTTAAATTAGCAAAATTGAAAAAAAAGATAAATTAAAAAATCTATAAAAAAATTGACGTTAACAATAATTTTATTAAAATTAAACTAAATAAATAAAAATAAAATAGATAAATCACACTGATTTCTTGCAAGTAATTATTATTGTCATTTCTTATTAAAAATTTGAAAAAACATTAGCAATATTTTCTTTCATTTGCTGCTTTCTGATATTACAATAATGGCATTGTCTTATTTGACGCCATGCGACTAGATTTTATTAACTTTTATTAATTTTTTACAATTTTGAAAATGTTTTTAAACAATAATTTCTAGTAAGTCTGTACCAAAAAAAGTAATACCTTCCACAAAATATAAGTTTGAATTTAAAATTAGAATTATTTTTTTAATTTTTGAAATCGGGCCATAAATAAAAATTCTACAGCGCCTGCCTTTTTCAAAAACCACCCTGTATATATTTTTGTCAACAGCAACAACAACTCACCCTCATGCATTTATGTCTCTGTGTCCTGATTTCTTCAATAATATTCCTCACGGCAACCGATAAAGAATTATCTAACTCAGGCAGAGCAACTTTTTCAACATCGACTTGAATCGCAGACGGGACTCCGAAAACTTTTTGGATAAAATCAGGATTCGTTTCTAACCCAATCCACAAAAACATATGAATTCCATTTTCTATAAATTAAAATTTTGAATTGGGGAAATCCCCGATTTCGAGCACTCACCCAAAATATAAACTCCTTGTTCGTTCATTTTATCAAACGTACACCTAATCGGCGCAGGAATCTCTACAGGATCCTGAGTTGGATCTAAATCAATCAATGGTACCAACCTCGGATAGAAATAATTCACACTGGTCGGTATATCCATGATCATAACCTCTTGCATAACATAAGCTCGATCATCAATTGTCATATCAGACCCCCCAGATAGAGCATCACTCTTCAATAAACAATTCACATACAACGGCAATAATTTCATACATTCGGGCAAGATTAGTTGACCTGCACTACTAGGACTCGCACAGTTTTTCCTATAAGTGGCGAGAATTTGCGCCGCACGAGTCACTATACTATCTTTGACAGCTTTCGGATTATGTTCATATAGTTTATAAGTCGCTTGTTTTGAAAGATAATTGATTATAGTATCGCAATCGCAATTTCGGTAAAGATCCGACATTTGGGAGCAAGTTTTCAACGAAAGATTCATCACGCGCAGGCGGCGCTGACCCGAACATGACGTATACAACAACGCCGCCTGGATGTACACGCCCTCCTCCTCGGACAACTTGTCGTCGTGCTTCACCTCAACGGCCACGGCCTTGTCACAATCTAGAAAAAAATACCACCATTGATATTTTTCATTCACTATTTCACAAAACACTGCGTTACTATGGAAACCTTCAAGAAACTCATTCATAATGTTGCCATGGTAATTTCTAGCATTCATTCCCTAAGTTACCATGGTAACATTCAAAAAGCTCATTCATAAACAGTGTCATTATACCAGGTGAATAAAAAGTGTGGAACCAAGCGTTTTTTTCGTAAACTAAGAACTTTACGAAAAAATAATTAGTGTAGTGTAAAGTACAATTAAAATGTGACCATTTTTCGAAATTTCTTTTAGTTTTCGAGTTCTGGAAAAATTTTATTTTTTTTAAATGGCAACCCATCATGATAATTTTTTTAATTAAAGATTATGATCTAAAAATGACCTCTAATTAAATAAAATTGTTTTTTAGCCAGTACTTTTTTTTAATTAATTGTTAAAGTTGCGTTCCGAGCTCATCACGAAGATTTTCCGAACTTAACCGAAGTGCATATCATCATGGGAGCAAATTTCGAAAAATGTTATTCTTGATAAATGGTCACATTTTCATTGTACTTAGTTAGTGCTTAGTTTACGAAAAAAACGCTTGGTTCCATACTTTTTATTCACCTGGTATGTTTCCATGGCAACACCAACGACAATTTTTCATGTTGCCATGGTAATTTTTAACATTTATTCACGATCTCCGAAAAAAACTGTTACCATAGAAACGTCATTAAATGTTTCTATGGCAACACCAATGACAATTTTCAATGTTGCCATGGTAATTTCTAGCATTCATTCACTCCGTTACCATGAGAACATTCAAAAAACTCATTCGTAAAGAGTGTCATATGTTTCCATGGCAACACCAACGACAAGTTTTCATGTTGCCATGGTAATTTCTAATATTCATTCACGATCTCCGAATAACACCCTGTTACCATAGAAACGTCATTAAATGTTTCTATGGCAACACCAATGACAATTTTCAATGTTGCCATGGTAATTTCTAGCATCCATTCACGACCTCCAAAAAAAAACACTCCGTTACCATAGTAACCTCTAAGAAACTCATTCATAATGAGTTGTTTCCATGGCAACACCAATAGCAGTCTTTAATGTTGCCATGGTAATTTCTAGCATTCATTCGCGATTCCCGAAAAAAACACTGTTACCATGGAAACCTCTAAGTAACTCATTCAAAATGACTTGTTTCCATGGCAACACCAATGACAGTTTGTAATGTTACCATGGTAATTTCTAGAATTAACACTTTTTCTTACCAATGGCTGCCAGTTCCATGTCTGTGGTGTTCGACATGTAAAAATGACCGTAAAAATCTGTGGGTCTGACGCCAGTTGACGTCCGTACTCTCATAATGGCGTCGAATGCGATTGGTCTACTGATATTCATTATGATATCTTTTATTAGTCTCTCACCATCGATATCGGCCTATAAAAAATTTGATAATTAAATTGACTATTCCCTCACAAAATTTAAATCTCAAGAATTTAAAAGATTTGATTGACATAATTTTTTTTCGACTTATAATGATTATTGTTTTTGTTAATTTTGTTCGGGAAATAACTGGCAATTTGGTATCAACTCGAGATATTATTATTGAAAACCCAAAAAACTCTAACCTGGAAGTATGTATATTTGTGGACTTCGCCCCCTGTCAACCGCGACACTTGACTGATGGTAGGAATATCGATATAAGCATTATTAAAAATGAAAAGATCGACCGAACAGCCGGCTGCGACACAATCTTGCCCTAACTGATTATAGGCTTGTGTTTGTGGTGTCAAAACCGTTCGTTCCTTATCAGTTCCTAGTAGTTTTCGGTCGTCGCGATTTTTCAATTTTCCCGGACCTTCAGCTGTTGGCAAACTCGAGTGAAAAACGAGCAATTTTCCCGCACATTCGGACGCCTACAAACAAACTTATTACCTCCCCCATTTCCCTTATTATACCAAAAACCAACTTTTAAAGCCTCAAGTCCTGCTAGAATCGCCGGTAGTAAAATAGTTTCAGTTTCTCTCGTATCACCAAACATCGCTGGAATTTGCTGCATCAACGCATCGATAACAGGCCCGGACTCCTCCGGAGTGCAAAGAAACCCGTCTAAAAGCGGCATAAACATTTCTTGGATGTCGCCAACGATCAGCATCTGAGGGGCGGCTAAATTTCCCTTAATGTTGTAAAAATGGACCGAACTGTTGTAAGTGATGAACCCGACGCGCATACTGCTTTTTTCCTGTCCTTGATCGACGGGTAAATTCTTGATAATGTCCTTAATTTGGGAGCACAGTAAATGGACTAAACCTGATTTTATGTTATTATAAGAGACGTCAATGACGAAAATCATGGCCGGAGGTTTGGGTAAAGTGTTATTACGACAATATTCGGGAGTTGCGACAAATTCGTAAGTGCCCAAGACGAGTTCTGGACGTTCGAAACGGTCCAATCGTTGACCGGTGTGGTCCAGATGTTGGAAATATTCTTGAGGGACTGTTAATTGACCGAATTAGGGATTAATTAACGCAAAAAGTGGGATTACCATCGGTTGTGGCTTTACAAAAAAGGCACTGGAATCGTCTTCCAGAATCGATAAATTGCATAAAAGGACACATATAGGCCTTGCATCTGATACACCGGACTGGGCCTAAATCCCCGAAATTGACAATTGGTGGGGGGTATTCCTGGTCCACGGTCCTTGCCATGGGACTAATAACCAAACTGAATGGAACTGCAGTTTGTTTCATTATGTCCTACCAAAAAAATTTTCATTTTTTTTTTCTCAATCAAAAATTAATTTCAAACCTGTGAAACTGGTACATTATACATGCTAGATCGTATAAATCGAGGACTCGAATTCCCTTGATCTTGAACAATAAAATTCGTGGTTACTAAAGGGGGCACAAGCCCTTTCTGGTTGGTGCAAAAAATCCCCGACCGGTTTTGCTGATCATCTTGAGTTACTTGAATCTGAAAAAAAAATTATTTTCATTTGAAAAACCCTGAAATATCCTTACAGGACTCGGCATTTGATCGGGATCAAGTCGCTTGGCTTGTTGGGGTTGTTGATACGCAGGTTGCGGATACGCCCCTGGAACAGGGGGCTGTTGGCCGAACCCTTGTTGTGGCCGCATTTGTTGTCCATTCATGTATTGTTGTTGAGTTAACGGGGGCGGCATGTGGGGCCCCCCATCCCCATTCGTTGCGCGTTTCATTGGCGGAGGATATGGTCTAGGACCACCCAAACTCATCCCTTGCATCTGATTGGCCAGTTGGTTGGGACCGGGAGGTTGATTTAAACCGGGCCCTTGCATCTGATTGGCCAGTTGGTTGGGAGGAGGTTGATTTAAACCGGGCCCTTGTATCTGATTGGCCAGTTGGTTGGGAGGAGGTTGATTTAAACCGGGCCCTTGCATTTGATTGGCCAGTTGGTTGGGAGGAGGTTGATTTAAACCGGGCCCTTGCATCTGATTGGCCATTTGGTTGGGACCAGGAGGTTGATTTAAACCGGGCATTGTTGGAAGTTGGGCGAATTGCGGTGGGGGTTGATTGAAGTGATTGGGTGGGGGTTGAGCCAACATGGGATTTGGAGGTGATTGAGTAAAAGGTTGGGCTGGGTTGATGGGTGGTTGATTTGGGGGTTGAGTGAAAGGTTGGCCTGGAAGTGGGGGTTGAGGGTGTTGTTTATTTATCGAATTTGGGGGGCCTGCCAACAAATTATTAATAAAAAAAAACATAAGTTTGATAATTTACCATGTGGGGGTAGAGGAGGTGACGCCAGTGACCCATATCCTGGTCCATTTTGAAACTGGGGTCCATTTTGAACTCCTCCAGGTTTAGGCATTATATTCTCTTGTTCTAAACTAGGGGGTAGTTGGGTCGGGGGCAGAGGCCTCCGATTTGGAGGCATTTGTCCAGGTGGGAACATTTGAGGGTTTTGAGGAATGTAAGGTTGTGGAGGACCTGGTTTTTGAGGGCCCAAATTAACATTCTGAAAAGCTCCTTGTGGAGGTGGAGGACCTGGGGGTAACATATCTTGAGGGGGCAACCCAAACTGCTGCTGTGGAGGGTATTGACGGTTCATTATTCCTGTAAAAAAGTGAAAATAGATATTAAGTAATCAAAAAACCTAAACCGAGTCGTGTTTACTTTATTCATGTAAACACAGATGCCAAAATAAACAATAAAGGTTGAAGAATCTCGTGAACGCAATCAGGAAAGTGGAAATATGAAAAAAATACTTTTTATTTTAAAAATGACCCATATTTTTGTACTTAATTAAGTTAAAAAAACGGGAAAAGTTGGTAGTTTGAGAACTTGAATGTTCAACAAAATCAAACCTTTTTAATCCAGAAAGCAAAAAATTAGCACGTACACTAAATAGTTCAACAAAATACTTGAAAAATTAATAAATAAACGACATTTCTCTAACCCTCAACTAGCAACTTGCCACGTAAGGTTAAACTACGCATGCGCTAGTTACCTCCACGTCAACTCACTAGCAAAAAATCCCTAAATTGACAAAAAATCACGAATTCTAGCAAGCGCAAAAACCCATCAGCGCTAAATAAGTACTTAAATTAAAAAAAATATTTATGTACAACTTCAGCTAACAATTTAATCAATACTTATTGTGATTTTTACATAATCAAGCTGCTACATTTTAGTATGTTACTTTTTATAATAATTAAAAAAATGTTAACAAGGTTGGCGTCACTGTTTTATTTAAAATTAATAAATAAAAAATAATTAAAATATGAGATGAAATTGTGAGATAGAAAGGAGAAAACAAGTATGGATTAAAACCGGTGCATTGCTTTCATTTACGTTGTAATAAATTGATTAGTTTTTATTTTATGAAAACCTAACCTCACTTGGCCAAAGAAGGGGGCAAAATAAGTCGATTTTGTTTTTAATGAATATTAATGTGAGAAAGTGGTTTCAAACGCACAAAATGTGAAATTCGGACGTTTTTGGGCGAATTACGTTTGCGCAAGACGCTGGAATAATTAATCCCTTTTATCAGGAAAATGTAAGCTCAAGCATGTCAGCAAGGAATATTTGGGTGTTTTGTGGCATTATTGTAACGATTGCGATATATTGGCCCACAAGACACGCTCGACATTATGATTACATTGATCTCAAAGATGTGTACAAAGAATTACAATTTACACAAAAAATATCACATTTAAGAAACTGCAATTACAAAGAAGTGATTTTGAATAACACTGATGTGGAAATTGGTGAAGCTAAGAGTTATTTTACACCCGAGCATGGTATTTGGTGTTTGTGTGGTTGCAAACATTCAATTTTGTGTTTCAGGTGGTGTGTATAAGCCCAAACACTGTAATCCTTTAATAAAAGTTGCTGTGATAGTCCCTTACAGAAATAGAACATTACAGTTAGAAACGTTCCTAAATTACATGCACAATTTTCTACAAAAACAATATTTATTTTACAGAATTTTTATTGTGGATCAAGTGGACAATTTAGCGTTTAATCGAGCAAAAATGCTCAATTTTGGGGCTAAAGTCGCAATTGATATGGATTTTCCTTGCCTTATTTTACATGACGTTGATCTTCTGCCACTAAACAGTGGGAATATTTATGGGTGTGTGAGCAAACCAAGACACATGTCTAGTAGTGTGGATACTTTTAGGTAATTTAAACTGTTTACTTTTTAATTTTTGTTGTGTTATTGTCTTTTTTAGATTTAATTTACCGTATTTGACACTATTTGGCGGAGTTGTGGCAATTTCGTCGCAACATTTCCAGAAAATCAATGGTTTGTCCAATCATTTCTACGGCTGGGGTGGAGAAGATGACGATTTTTACAAGTAAATTATTTTTAAAGTGGTTTCTCTTGTTATTTATTTGCTTTTAGGCGACTTAACGTTAATGATTTGTCACCCTGTCGTTTTACCCCTGTTTTAAGTAGGTACACGATGTTGTTTCATAAAAAGGAAAAAGCTAGGTAAGTTTTGAACAATTTTACATTGAGTCTAGAGTCAGTTTTTTTATTTTTTAGTCCAAACAGATATGATATAATGGAAAAATCTGCGGTGTTACACAAGTCAGATGGATTATCAACTTTACCTTCAAATTATTCAATCAAAATGGAAAAATTGTACACATTAATTTTAGCATCGTAATTTTTTTTATTTTATACAAAAACTCCTATTATGTCTGTGAAATTGTAGTCAGAAGTATTATAAATAAAGTCATGCAACTTACAACAGGTTTTTAATCGTTTTTTGTTTGTTTCAAAAACACACAAGTTAACCGGGAATTCCCAAAAAGATTTTTGGGTGTATTGTTGGTTGCATAGTTAACTTAATTTTACATTTGATTTTTAAACATAAATGTTTATTATTATAATAAAAACATTAATTATATGTTTTTTTTAAGTTCTCTTTTGTAATAATAAATTACAAAGCTGTCAGTATAAAAATAAATTTATTTTATAGTACATTGCATTCGTATTATACATTTTACAGTATGATACAATATCAAAGAATAAATAGAAAAGTTTTGACAAAAGTATGAATAACTGACTTTTCAAACGTGATTTCAAAATATTCACATCAAAAAATAAGTACTAAAATAAATACAAGAAACTCTAAAATATACAATCATTAATCTAAGATTTGCCTGTACAAAGGGTAACAAAAAATTGCATCACAAGTTTTGCTAAAAAGCGCGATTAAAAACTATTGCAACTTGAATTCATTTGAACACTCGATAAGGCAGTGTGGATTTTCAATCGTTGTGTCATTTAGTATTTGTATCCACCACCAGGGGCGTATTGTTGGGTGATTTGGTTCGTACTCGTACCAGGGAAAGACGGTTTGCTTGGAGTGGGGAACGATGGACCTGCAGGTCTTCCACTGGGATACCCACCAGAAGGTGGACTAGGGAATGAGGGCGATGGGCCTGCTGGTCTTCCACTGGGATAACCACCAGAGGGTGGACTAGGGAATGAGGGAGTACTAGGTCTACTAGGTGTACTAGGGAAGGACGGGGTGCTAGGGAACGACGGTTTACTAGGTGTGCTCGGGAAAGAAGGCGTGCTAGGTCTGCTGGGTATGCTAGGGAACGACGGGGTGCTAGGTCTACTAGGTGTGCTAGGGAAAGACGGTCTGCCACTGGGTCCGCTAGGGTAAGACGGGACACTTGGTCTGCTAGGTCCACTAGGGTATGAAGGAACACTTGGGTATGATGGTCCGCTGGGTGTTGGACCACTGGGGCGTCCCGGGTATTGCGGATACGTCGGTTGTCCTTGATAACTTATCTAAATTTTTTAAATTAGTTTGTGTTTTAAAATTACGAAAATTTTTACCTGGGCATGGAAACCAGTAGCCCAATCAGCTGTATATTTAACCACTTGTGTCCTACCATCAGGTAATTGTATTCTATATTCTCCTTTAGTTTGATCTCCGTCACTGATGGCATTATGTGAGTAGTCGTTACCATAATGATCATCTTTAACAGCGTAACTGAAATCAAAAGGCATGCCAGGTACGTGGTGATGATGATCGTGAGTTTCCTACAAAAAATTGTTGAAAAACCTGAGAGAAAAAAATTGAGAAATTATTACGGATCCGTCTCCTCCAGGACTTGGACCTGGCAATGGTCTCGGTCCAGGAGTTGGTCTGTATGGTGGTGGTGTTGGTGATGGGCCTGGTCTGTAAGGTGGAGGAGTTTGCGCTGGAGGCCTATACGGAGGTGGAGTTGGGGGAGATGGAGGCCTATACGGAGGTGGACTTGGGGGAGATGGAGGCCTGTATGGAGGAGGAGTTTGCGCAGGAGGCCTATACGGAGGTGGAGTGGGAGGAGAAGGAGGCCTGTATGGGGGAGGAGTTTGCGCAGGTGGCCTATACGGAGGCGGAGTTGGAGGAGATGGAGGCCTATATGGAGGAGGAGTTTGCGCTGGAGGCCTATAAGGAGGCGGAGTTGGAGGCGATGGGGGTCTGTACGAAGGAGGTGAAGTTGGAAAACCTGGACGTTCTGGTGGCAAATATTGCGGTCCGGTTGGTGGTCGTGGAGGGGAAGTTGGGCGAAACTTAGGGGGAACTGTAGCCGGTGGTGGTCTTGATGGAGGTTGGTATGGGGGTTGAGTTGGAGGTGCTGGGGGTCTGTAGGGAGGTTGAGTCGGTGCTGGAGGTCTATAGGGAGGTGGAGTAGGTGGACCGTAGGTTGGTCTTGGAGGTTGAGGCGGTGCTGGTGGTCTATAAGGAGGTTGAGTGGGAGGTGCTGGAGGCCTGTAGGGGGGTTGGGTGGGCGCTGGAGGCCTGTAGGGGGGTTGAGTGGGCGCTGGGGGTCTATATGGCGGTTGAGTTGGCGGAGATGGAGGTCTTGGAGGTTGAGGAGGAGGGAATGGCACTGAGGGTTTTTCGTATTTGTATCCGTCTTTGGGAGGGAGATAAGCATTTTGTCCGGGAGCGATTGCAGCATAATTTGCTGCTATTAAGCAGCATAAAGCTGCTGAAATCTGTAACACAGAAAGAAAAAATTGTTATAAAAAAAAAACACCAACAATTTAAATAAAAATTAGTTTTTACATAATTTGGTATATTTATTATTTAATACTCATTAGTAATTATTTGTTTAAAATTAGTAAACCACACCTTCCCAAAATGATTAAGGCATTTTGTTTTTTTTTTATCTTTTGCTCTTTATGTAAAAATGTCCAAAACTTCAGTAAAAGAAAGCTTTCCTGAAAAAGAATGCCATGTTTAATGGCAATTCGAACTTTATTTTAAAATCAAAATATAATCTTTAATTACAAAAAAATAAGTTTGTTTTTGAAAAATTAAAATTACACTTCCTGTTGGGACACCCTTTATCTGTTTTATTATTAATTAATTGTTTTTGTCTTTAAAACTGCTTGAAATTGTATTTACTTTAATTTAAGAGATGAGTAATATTTGTAAAAATTAAACTAACAAAAAACACAGTTTCTGTCACTACAAATTTATCATTATGTTTTAGAGATTTTTACACCTACGTCTAAAATGTCTTTAAAAACGATATTTTTAAGTTAAATAATATGTTTGGAGTACAAGTCATTCCGGAGGACTGTTTAAATAAGTTATTTTTAAGTCCAGTAAAACATAATTAAAAAACAGATACTTGAAGAGGTTCGTCGTCTGATAAATAAATTATTGATTGTAGTTATTGCGACGACCAAGGACATTGTTATAACAGGATTCTCTTCGTGATTGAATAATATGTATGTATACGGAAAGAAGCTTAATTGCTTGAGGGTGTGGTTGTTATTTTTGCATGCTTTACTTCCACTAAATTGAAAGTATGTTACTTGACTGATTTCAACTCAAGGATAAAATGTATTTGTATTCATGCCTTCATCGTTGAGGCATTCTTTAAAGGTTACTGCTGAAAAATTATAGACCGACAGGATGAATATAATGGGATTGTCGCTGTTGTACAAATATTTACGACATTTTTTATGCAGTATTACATAACTATCAACAACAATGCATTTTATTGGAGCTTTTATCGCCCTTGTTGTGCGAATCGAATTGACATTTTCCAAACTAATTAATTCCCTGTAATTACAATAATTATGTAACCGGGAATCAGATATTGGCTCAATTGCACTAATGACCAACCAAAAAAAATGTTTTAATGGGCGATTTCGTAAAAACGATTATAAATAATATTTCCTATATTATTCAACAAGTACACGTAAAATAATTAAATAACCATTAATATTTGAACCCTAATTATGGCAAAACTGATTTGAGAAGAGCACAACAGCAGGTGTACCATCTAACCTTTTCAACCTCAGCATGCGTGAGTTCATGCATAATTGTGATTAGAAAAAATTGTTTCATAAACGTGTCATCACTCGATATAATCATAATATTTATCCAAACAAACGTATTCTCAATTTATTAGTTCCGAGTTTTTAACGATAATTTGCATTAGTAACTAGAACAAGAGTTTTTCTTCGGTTTTTTGGACACTGAAAATTCCAACAAGCCTTTCTCTAGTTTATGTAATCTGACCACGCGATAACAATATTAAAAGAAAAGTTTTAAACAAATCGAAACATTTCTATTTAACAAAATTTATAAACACAAAGAATAACGTTCTCTAGTGACTCTTGTTACAATGACACAACAATAAAAGCCAAGTATTGTTGCGTTATATTCCTCATCATCAGAAGCTTTATATTTTACAAAGTAACACAGCTACTTTTGATTGTCTGTCAATTGCCATACGAAAACATAAAAGAAAGTGGAAGCGTCAATTTGAACAATTAATACGAATGATTTATAGTCATAGTCGCAATTTAAAGAGAAATATTTTTTATTTGTTGCAAAATGGACAGAATAATTGAACCAACGACAAATAAAATGCTTCAGAACGACAAAATCTGACGAAATAGTATATTATGTTATTAGGGGTAAAAGTAATACTTATGTAGCGAAGTCAAACGTAGTGGGGCAAATAGCAAGTAAATGAACAACATAATTAGGTTGTTTTGCAAGTAATAAAATTATAACCTTATAAACAAAATCACGCGTCAGTATCGGAATTTGAAATTTTCGAAAGTGTTTATTAATTTAACTAGTGCAGTTGGTAGTACAAAATGTCGAATGTTGATGATCTACAATGTAACTCACCAGAAAGTGTTGAAGCAGCAAAAGAAACAACAATAGTAAATGTCAATAATGTCATGGTAAAAGTAAAAATGCTTAGGCGCAAAAATAAAATTTTTGCTTGATGGCTGAAGGGTAAAATCTTTATTTGTGTCATTTAGTCATAAAAAAGCCATTTTTGTCACGTTTACAGATAGAAACTTTTTTCACGATAAAGTTATGCATTGTACAAAAATAAAACATTTTATTTGTCGTTGGTTTAATTATTATTGCGTGAATTTATGGTATTTTATGTGTAATTTCTTGTATGTTTTGACCTTGATTATCCTCAGCAATTTGAGTCTGATTTTAAGTAACTTTGTTTCAAAACCTATTAATCACAAGCAGATTATCATTAATTATGATTGGAAATAAATAAGTGAATAAATATTTTATGGTTTAAATGAGGAAAACAACAAAAAATAGAATTCTCTTCAACAGTAGGTAAATACTTGAGGCGTGCTTCCTCCATAAATGGAAAATGTAGGCGGTAACGTCATAAAGACTCAATAGCAATTAACACTAATAAAGATTTATATCATATTTCGAATGTGGGAATAAATTTAGTGGTTCTGCAATGAACTTTAAAATTTTACTAGCACATAAATTTTGATCTGTTAACTGGAACATCACGAGGAAAAATATCTAGTCCATATAATAAAAACTTAGAAACATGTAACCATTTTTTTTATAAATAATTAATTTATTTTATTAAATTTATTAAAATAAAAACAATATGTTTAGAGACATTCAGCGTTTTTTTGCTCAATACAAAAAAAAAATATTTTTCATATACAGGATGTTTCAACTTAAGAAATGATACTTTTTTATCAATAATAACGAATAGTAAAAAAGTTCTAGTAAAAGTTTTTTAGTTACCGAGATATTGGCTGATAAAAACACTATTTAACTTCTAAATTTTAGAAATAATAAAAAAATAACAAAAATAATAATAAATAAATAATGTTCTATAGCGACAGTGATAGAAAACGTTATAAACAATTACGAATAAGTTCAAAAATGAAGAATTTCAAAAAAATAAAACAATACTTTTTTTTAAAAAATCGAGAAAAATTGAAAATTTCTAATTTACTTAGGTCGTTCTTGTGGAGAACAATAAATACTGAAACGTTATTGAAAGTAGTGAAAATAACTTTGAACACATTTTCTTGAAGTTTTCAATTTTGTGTATTTCTTCAGATAATTTAATTCATACACAGGGTGTGTCAGGACTCGCGCCCCAGAGAAAAATTTTAAGTAAGATAAGATACTAGAAACATGGAAATAATCTTTAAAAAATTTATATGACAAAATATTTTGACATTTAATTTTTTACATTTTACATTTTTTATGTCTATTTAATGGTACTGATGATCTTGTATACGTTTTTTTTGTACTTATTTAGTAAAGATAATAAAGATTTAGGATACAGCTTCCTTTTTTCTTCTTCTAATAGCCTGTAGCAAAAAAACATGTAAAATAATTTTCAGAGATAAATAGAGTCAAAGTGCAAAATTCAAATTCTCATAACTTCGAAATTTTTATAGATAATTTTTTTTAACAATTTTCAATTTTTAACAAGTTCTTGCCCACTCTGTATAAAAAAAGCGGCGATGAATTTGTCGGATAAAAAACTCGTTCTGTTTACCAAATTTAAAAAAAAAAAATCAGTTTTATCCGGATTATAAAAAAAACATTTTATGTAATTACAGTCAAAAAGGACTTTTGATTTTTGCAATTTTATGAGAGTATCTCCAAAAAGAATAAAAGTTTTACTTAACTTATTTTGCATTTTACTCATTATTCACTGTCATTACCGAATGTCAAATTAAGGAAGTGAATGTCTAATGATAATCTTGGTATAATTTAATTAAAATTTAAAAGTTGAATAGTGCTTTAATAATGCCGTATTTCGGTAACTAAAAACTTTTTTCGACTATTCCTTATAAGAAATCTCATTCCCTAATTTTAAGCGAACAAGTTAAGACTCACCCTGTATATAAATATTAACTATTTTTTTTTAATTACACTGCTACCAAAATGATTTACATTTTATTTCATATTTTTTTAAATAGGATTTTTTAAGTTTAAGCTTATTTACGGCGTTTTAAAACTGATATTACCGTCTTTTAGCATAATATGAAAAACTATTCTCTTCTTTTCACAAACAAATTTTTTTGTTTCACCGCTTTTTAGTATTCTAATTAATTAATTTTTTTCAATAATAATTAATCGCAAACTACTAAACACCACATAATCCAAAGTTAAGTGTCCATAAACCGCGCATTTGCTAATAAATCTTAAACGGTAGCCGTTTCTGACAGATCATAAAATTACGCATACAAAGATGTATTAGGTAACATCTAATTACACGTCAAAATTTGAAAACTATACGAAACGGACGTCTTTCACCATCAGCATAATAAACGACAAGTCAATACACCTACACTTGACATGATTGATTACACCAAGAAATCAATTATTTTGACTTGATTTTAAACCGCTGAAGACGAGCAAAGATTCTTCCTTTTTCTTGGTGTGAAAAAAAAAAGTTACAATTCTTTTAGTTGAATTTTTCGTATTATTGCGATTGTTTATTATTAACCCCGATTTGACTTCCCACATATGGCATGCTTGCAATAAAGTTCAATCCGAGCATTGCATGCTGTAACCGGATGCTTAGTTTGAATAGTCGTGATCAGGGGATTCATAGGTTAAGGCTGGTGAGCGCTCCAGTGGTCTACAATGGACGGAAGGATGCGACCACAAGCTCTGAAACTTTCTAAGAAGCCCATGCTCTTGACCCAACGCTACTGAATTACAGATTTCAGCGTAATTGATCATTGTTTCAGTGAAGAAACTCCGAACATCCGCGATCGCATCTCTTACACAATACGCCTGAAATTGGTACTGAAAGCCGAGTGATGGATGGAAGATTTTCAGATATAACATCCTTGCTGGCAATTAGAAATACTTTTCACAAAATATATATCACGATGACGCAAACCGAGATGGTGAAATAATTCGTGTGCAATGATTTGACTTTTGGGCCGTGGGAGTGTGATGTTGGCTCACAAAACAATGAGTTACGTTAAATTGTTTTGCTTAAATAATATGAATTTTAATTGCTGAATTGAGGGAATTCTCGAGGACAAATAATATTTCAGCAATTCTCATTAGAAAAGAACAGTTTTTGCAACGAAACAAATCTTCGCAATAAAATTCGAACAAGTAAGTGTAATAATAGTATATTACGTTATTAGGAGTCATCGTGATTAATTTAACTAGTGCAGTTAGTAGTGCAAAATGTCAAATGTTGATGATCTACAATGTACCCCTCAAAGCAGCAATAATAAAACTAAAAAACGTTTAGGCGCAAAAATCAAACTCTTCCTTGTGACATTTAGTCGTAAAAGTGGCCACTTTTGTGACGTTTGCGGATAAAGAATGATTTTTATGGCTTTTATTGTTGTTCTAAGAGCTTAACAGCAAATAAAATAAACTCGTATTGTTTCAATAAATGTTAAAAACAATCAGCCTTGACATAAGTAACCGCCACCTACAACAAAAATAAACTTTGCTAATAAAATTAATGAATTAATATTCATCAATAAATCGAAACATGAAGTCTTTTAATTGCTTGTAATTGACTTGTAACAATTCAGTATTTTACAATTATGACCACCTAACTCGATATTATCAATTAATTTCACAGTTTAATGAAGTTGCATCTTGGTAGTACTTATTGTAAAACCGGTACTATCATAACTCATTCCTCACGAATGATTTTGATGAATTGTGGTTACCGTTCGGTACCATTCAAGGCCTTCTTCGATATATGCATTTTCGTTGCACCATTCTACATGATTGAAAATTTTACTTAATGAGAGGAAGTCGGCCTTCGAGATGATTTATCGAAAAGTGATTCTATTAATTATTTGATTAATGACGAGGCCTTGCCGTTTTTTGGCGGAAGTGTGTAGGATGAGGCGAAGAAGTGTTTTTTTTTTAAGAATTTTGGCTTTCCTTCAAGGTTTTAACAATGCAAATAAATAATTAGTCATCCTACTCGCACTACTAGTGTAAAAATGTAAATAACTTCTCACACCCTGTATACAATTTAATTGGAAATAATTACAGTATAAATTACCCAAAAGATAACATTTGTAATTTGTAATGTAGCCCATGGCCGAGAATTCAAATCGTCTTATCTCTTAATTAATGTTTTAATACTGCACAATGGACCTATTATTTCATGCTTGACGTGAGGTGTGATGCTTTTATTTGCTTCAACGCGAAGTACTGACATTACTAAATTAATTAACTTAAATCAGCTACTGGTATTTTGACAAGATTGCAAGATTAATTAATTAGCTTTTCGGTAAATTAGCTTATCAAAATAGTGGATAATAAATAAAATAAAATAACATAATAATAAAATGTATATAACGACGAGAAGTTTTTTTTTCACATTTGAAAACTTGGTAAGTTTGATATTTCAACTTTATTTAACAATAATTGATACAAAAAATGGGAAGTGGTCACTTAATATGACAGTTCAAGTTGGGAAATGATCACTTCCCAACCCGAACTGTCATAGGTATATAATGTTTTTCTAAATTTAATAAACTCTTTATTGGCTTTCTGTTCTTTAAGGAAAATGACTGTGCCAGAATGGTATACAGACTTTGGTGGTTGTTGCTAACCTCAGCGCTTTGCGTTAGTAACACCTCCCACCTCAGTATGTAATCTACTATTTCACATATTGGCCTTAAATAATTATTTCTAAATTTTTGTTTTGTTTTTTGTTATGGTGCATTCTTCTTTTCTGACGTTTTGTTTTATTTTGTCGTGCAATACACCTTTTTAGAAATGTAATTTTTTTCTTATTAAAATTTTTGCTATGCTTATTTACATTTAAAATATGTGCAGTTCAAAGTAAATACTTTATTCTTGTACAAATAGTTAATCATGTATGCGTTTTTCCGTAATTTATGCTATTTTCTTAAAGGTATTTGCATTTTACGATATTTTAATTGTATAAATTGTGGAAAAATTACTAAAAAAATTTACTTTTTTGTAATGATTTGAATAAATGAATAAATTTTTGGCGTGCATCGATCTTAAAAACTCATTCGACGTTAATTAATTTTTACAAACTCTCATAATGGGGTGTATTTAAGAATTGTGTAATTGCCTTTATTTGATGACATTTTCAACGGAAATTTCGCAACGTGATGCTTTTATCGGTGTAAAACTCGTGCACTGGCATTCACCACTAATTTCTTTACTCGAGACACAATTACTCTAAATGTCATCGTTATTTTTTTTCTAAAATTGGATTTTTTTCCCTCCTTACCTTAATTATCATGTCCTGGTTTTGACACAAACCATGCAAAAACCAACACACCACTTAACCCTTAAAATTCGTCACTGTACACAGAGCGATGGGATGCTGTTAATAAACACTGTCTTTTATACCAAACCTTCAGGTGGGAGATGGGCATAGAGGGGGCATCTTTCTTGCATTATGCGTAATAATGTAACATCGTGGTGTTTATTTATTTACCTTTGAAGCGCGTTCTTGAGGTCCTTTCTTTGAGTTTCAAGCGGGGGAGTAGATGACCTTAACGAAATTATTAAGTCGTTTAGAAGGGTTTCGTGTCTGATTTCGAGTGGTTTAGGACCAAATTTTCGGTAAATGAAAGTAGTAAATGCATGGATGAAATTGTTCAGGGTCGGTGTTATGTAATTGGATTGGTAAAATGTGAAGAACTGTGCTGAAACGAATTTTTTATTGGAGATGAGAAAAAATTGGTTATTACAGAACTGCAGGCTATGATTTCCTGATCAGGTTTAAATTACTAATCCTAACAACAATAGATTTATGTTCCATTATTTTACTATCTTCTTCTTATTCGAACAATGTTCACATCAATTAAACAGCCAGAGCAAAAATCTAAAAAAAAATTTCATTAAATTTTTTTTTAAATACTAAACCAAATCGTCAAAAAACGTTTTTTGCACTATTTTGAGCCTTTAAAGTCGGTAAAAGTACAAAAAACGTCATTTAGTCAGTCTTTAAAGTTTGCAATTTTTTTAATTTTTTTTTAATTTTGGCTGCTTTTTGTAACCGTCTATGGTCAATACTCAATAACTTCGGAACCAGTACTCGTAATTCCTTATGGTTAGTACCGTTGGAAAGCACTTTAAATTTCTCGTCTTATGAAAAAACATTATTGCCTTGTGAAGTAAACTAACAGTAAACTAGGTATGCTTTTAAAAATAGATTTAATAAATGGTTGAAATTACCTTTAAATTATCCACCGAATGGCGAAAACTTGAAGTCAAACTACAAATATCCTATTTTTCACCAAAACCATTAAATTTTTTATTAAAAAAAAGATTTTCGTTAAAAAAATGCAAAATGTAGTTATTTATTATACAAGACGATAAAGAAATTGTTTATCTACGAGTGAAAAGATTAAGTTTACGAGTGACGAAGTCTCTTTTTTAAAAATCTTTATCGTCGTGTATAATATTTTAATTGTTTTTTTATTATCATTTTTCAAAATTGAAACTACATATTCGATTTTTATAAGATTTTATCGATTTCAGAGCGCTACGGTGCTGTTAGAACATCCAAAAAACGTTGATTATTTCAAAATAAAATAAATAAAAGCGTTAAAAATGAATATAATCAGTTGCATTGTTTTCGGTGTATTTTTGGGTATAGAGAGTGATATTTTGAATATTTTTGCAAATTGCTCAAAGATGCAAATTGCAAGAAATTAAAAAAAAAGTTTTTTATATTCGATCCAATAACGTTTTATGCAATTTTTTGAGACCCTGAAGCGCAAAAATCGTCATTTAGTCAAATATTGAAGTTTTCGATTTTTTATTTTTGTCAAGACTTTGGTGAATTTTCAGTACCCGAATCGGTCAATCGTCAATAACTCCGGAATTATTGGTGGTAGTCCCTTATGTTTAGTTTGTTTAGAAAGCACATTTAATTTCCCATCATATAAAAAAAGATCATTGTTCTACGACAAACAGTTATCAAGAAAATTACTGATATATGCAAAGAGTGCTGCTTGAAATTTTTTTGATTTTTGGACGCCAATCGATTTACCTGAACATTTTACATACGAACAATTGCAAATCTAGTCATTCTAGAGCGTTATTTTAGCCTAATTTACAACAAGTAAACATTTTACAACTCTGGAATCGTTGAAGAGTTTAAAAATATTGCTATAAACCTATCTCATTTAGGTGCAGATGTTTGTTTAATCATTTTATAGATTTTGTCTCGCTGATTACGCCAATATATGGTTTATAACAATAATCTTGATAGTTTGCTCGTGATAACTTCTTGAAAAAACGCGATAAATATATTTTTTATAAACTGTAAATGCGTTTGTCGCAAAAACTTTAAAAACCTTTAAATGGTAAAATTAGAAAAAAATTGTTTAGGACATTGATAGATACTAATCTAGTGCATCACCTAAAATTATTGTCAACTATGCTGCATGTCTAAAAAATAAGTTACGATACAAACTTGTGTTTTTTTCAATGAAACACCGTATGTTTCTTTGCATTGTTGGATGAAGCCTTTTAAAAACAACCCTTTTTAAAACAATGTTTTTACGCTAAACTTTCATCAGTTGATTTCGCTTAGTTTTGGAAATAACACGTTTTATTTGACGAAAAAATGCACTTTTTAAAAATTTATTACACAAAAACTAAGACAGCTAGAACAAATTTTTTCTTACTTCCGCAAAGAAAGTACAGAATTGAAAGATGTAGCAATTTCTTAGTGTTTTGCATTTGTAAAGATTAATAAATTAAGAAGTTTATTAAAAGTTAAATAACTTAAGATATTTACATGAAACGTCCTATTTTTTATCTTTGCATCTAATAAGTAGATTGATAAATTGTCTATGTAAAAAAATAAACTTTTAATGTCTAGAATTTATACATGAAAAGATATTTAACATTCAAAATTAATTGTAGTAACAATGTCTCTTGAAATATTGTTGATACTATGGCAAACATAGTAATTCCACCACGGATCACTTATCCGTTAATTTATCCAAAGTTGAAAAGTCGTTCTAAATACTGAAATTAGAATTATTTTATTGTAAAAATAAAGAATAATGGATTCAGTTTAACACAAATGTGATTATTAAGTAATATTTCTTCCATCTCTTGTGCAACTATACACTTTTTGGCTACTGAAACAATAGTTTTTTTATGTTTAACGTTAAATATCTTTTTAGTTATTGATTATAAACACTTAAAAGTAAATAATTTTAGAAAGACAATTTAATAATATTTTAAATGTAAAAACAATAAGTAGGGTGTCCCATTTAAATTTTTTAAGTTATTGAACTTTTAACAAACGCCTTCATTTTTTATCTTTGCAAATGCAACACACTAAAAAATGTTACAACCTTATAGCTTATTATTATTATTCTTTGCGGTGGTAAAAAAAATATTTCTAGATGTCTTAGTTTTTGTAATAAATTTTTCAAAAGTGTATGTTTTCGTCAAAAAAATGTTTTACTTTTAAAACTAAGCAAAATCGACCAATAAAAGTTTGGCTTAAAAACATTGTCATAAAAATCTACATACAAAAACGCTAAGAAACATATAGTGTTTGATTTAAAAAAACACAAGTTTGTGTTGTAACTTATTTTTGAGACATGCTGTATAGTTGAAAATAATTTTAGGCAATGGACTAGATTAGTATCTATCAATGTCTTATATAATTTTTTTTTTAATTTTACCATTTAAAGGTCACTAATAGACTTTTTCAACTCGCTGGGACACCCTGTATAAAAAAATGAATTCACTTTTAATTATCGAACAGCAAAAAGATGAAGTCAATTAGCGTTGTAGTTTAGGCTAAAGAAACATTTACAATTTTCCCTTTTTTGTGCTAGAAACGCTCAAAATGCTTCCATATGTGGAAAATTTCTCGTCATAGAGCATTTTAACCGGTCGCAGATGTTCAGAAAAGATAAATCATCTTATTAAGTAGCTGATCTCAGCAATATAAATTTTAATCTATTATTTAGATAAAAAATTAACGCTAATCCATTTAGTGTTTTATAAAACATCGCTTAATTCTATTTCATTATTTAGTCAACAAGATGTTTAACGTATATCTTGTCATATTAGTTTTAACACTTTCGGTATGTCAGATGATTAATTCAGATTTTTTTAAATTTAAATCAATTTTCAGCAAATTTCAGTCTCCCAATCATCAATCATCGATGAAGCCAAAACCAAACTAAACAACCTCTACTCCCTCGTCCTCGGTAACATCCAATCAGCTGAAGATGATTTCAGTCAGTACTACACCGACATCGCCGTCTACGGCCACAATATTGACAATTTAGGAAAAATGGACATCGAAACTATGCACCAAACTGTCGATTTTGAAATCGATCAATTGGAGGAAATCGGTCACAGCGCCCATGTTGACATTTCATCTTGTATTAAAGGCCAACGCGAAGTAATAAGCCAATTCCGTGATTTATTCGAAAACCGTTTGGGTGGCTGTGTAAATGACAAAACTGAAGAAGCTGCCGGTGTTTTGAAAGGCTCCAAATACACCGTCGATGTGACTATGAATTCGGTCCATCGTCTCGACCACGAATTGGGTGTTTGTGGGGACAGTATTTTGTGCATTTCGCCCGTGCTTAACAAAATTAATCTAGCAACGATTTCTTTGCCTCAACAAATTAAATCTGAAGTGAACAAAGCCGGAGATCTTCTCCAAGATCTGAAAGTGATGGTTGCAGAATGTCGAGACAACAATGTTGCTGAGTTTACAAGTTATGTTACCTCATTAGTTGCAATCATTGAAAATTGTGTCAATAAAATTGTTCCCAAGAAATAAATGTATTGTTACAAACTTGTCATTAATACACATATTTGGAAAAAGGCGTTTTGCTATTTGCTTCTGACGCAATTCGTGTTTCTAAAACTTAATTTCAATAAATTAACCGGTCTTCAGCAAGAATGTGGCTTAATCCATTTGTTATTATCGGATGCATTCTTGTCTATAAATAGTGAAAGGACATAAACATGATGGCTCCAGTACTTACTTTCATCGATTTATTTGCCAATAAATAAAATCAAATTGTCTACATAAATACATTTTTATTCACTTTAATAAAATATTTAAATCGACCAATAAAGAGGTAATAGTATGGACGAAAATAAACAAAAAAATTATAATAAACCTGGGTCCCAAAAGTAACGGTTCCGGAGATATCGGAGACTATTTTTTTATTGAAACATTTATTTGCAGACTGTTCAAACAAAAAAAAAGCTTCTAGTAAATGCAAAAATGTTTAAAAAAAAATTAAAAATGTTGTGGCACTTACCTTTTATTAATATTTTGTTCAACTTATCTTATTTTTACTTATAGTTATTTCCCTAGTACACTGGCGGACAAAGAATTTTGGACATCAAATTTATGTCAGTTCAAAAAATGTTAATGTAAGCACGCTTTATTGTCATTATGATTGACGTTTGAAACTTGAAAGTTTTAGTTGTTTGGCGTCGATTTTCAGAAACAATAATGCCAGCAATAAGTGTTTTTATGTAAGTTCAATAAATTTTTTGGATTTGTTGTCATCATTTTTTGTCTAGCTATCAGGATAAAAATTGCAAAAACCGAAAATGAGTTTAGTTGCCTAAGGCCCGTTTTACATTGTTATGTCACTCGAGTGACAAATCGTCCAAAATTCCGTGTCCGCCAGTGTACCTACTCTGGGATACACATAAAGTCTGTTTTTTCTTTAAATGGGAATTACCAAGTCAAAAAACTTTGAAGAAAAAGAACTTATATACAAACAAAAAAAGTTATTTGGCAAAAGATACAAGTAGGTATTATGACAATTGGCAATACATTTTGTGTAATTTATTGAAATGGGCTCAAAGTTGATGCATTTTAGTTTAATTCTTCTTCAGCTTTAGTTTCAAAATTGTTACTTTTTTAATTCGTTCCTCAAAAACATGTTCTTTCCGAGGTTCTTTCTCATTATGTTTATTTTGTATTCTTGTCAATTTTTTGCTAAAAATTGAGAATGTTTAGCAAACCTGCATTACAAATTGCGTCTACATTTTAACCGGCCTTTTTTCTAACTTCCTGCTTGCGAACTATTCGTTTCCAAATTTCTAAAAACTGTTAGCGGTACCGAATTTGTTCCTTTTTTGGTGTTTTTTCTCTAAATTTTTTTAGACCATATTTTGTGTTGATGTTTAATGATAATGACATTCAAATTACTTCAAAAAATCGGAACTCTAAACTTCCTTTGTTAAAATTATCATGAATGTGGTGCCAACGTTAAGACATTGGCATTTCTTTTTCTTTATGTTTTAAAACTCGCGCTCTTTTACGCCTGCCATCTAATAACATTTTTTGTTTTTAATAGACATTTTTTGCCGCACTTACTTTTTGTTTACTTATATTCAGATATTTCTACGAGTATTTCTATAAACCTATGTGGGTATACCACATATTTTTTTGAAGTTCGCGCTCTTATGCGCCCGCCATCTTTTAACGCTATCTGAATTGGTATTAATTTGAACCAAAGAAAAATTGCGGTTTTGACAGGAAATCTCAAAATTTTCCAAAAATATTATATTTTGCGTTTCTCTTCAACGTTTTTTTACATCTTAGAACCACATTTCGGTCAATTTTAAAATTTTAAAATTTTTAATTTTTGCTGTTTTTGATGTACAGTTGCCCTGTTAAAAACTAAAAGATTTTAACAAATGCAAAATTTTGTCTTTGTAAAATGCCCTGGATCTGAAATGTCATTTAAATAATTACGAGTCAAAAACTTTAAAACAATGAATTTGACTTCTGTTGGAATTTTTTTTTTTTTGTTACAGGCTATTAGAAGAGAAAACAAGAAAGATGAATCCTAAATTGTAACTTTGTTTAATGTTATTTGTGGCTTTTTTGGCAAAATTTTTGCATCCTTACTAAATAATTATAATAAAAACAGATACAAAAGCATCAGTATATATTATTAAATAAACAAAAAATGTCAAAAGTCAAAAAATAAATGTCATAATTTTTTGCGAAATATAATTTTTTAAATATTTTTCCCATATTCCTGGTTTCTTATCTTACTTGAAATTTTTCTCTGGGAGGCTAGTTCTGACACACCCTGTATAATTGTTCATTCACAAATTTTTATAACGTTTTATGCAGTTTCTTAAGTCTTCTAGACTTCTTTGAGTGCAATTGAAGTGTTCAATTTTTTGGAATTTTGTCCAAATTATCAGTAGCCCCATTATGTTTGTTATGATTAGAAAACACATTCAATTTCCTATTAAAAAAAAAGATCATTGTTTTACGGTAAATAGTTATTGAGAAAATGACTAGTAAATACAAAAACAGTTAAAATCCATACTCCACTTTTAAACTATTAGGAATTTTTAGTTTTCTCAACAATAATATAGATTAAAGAAAAAGTGAAATTATTATAAGAAATTTCAAAAATAGTTAAGTAACGGCCATTGCGCTAAGATTTATTGTATCAATCGGTTTGTATAATGGGTAAACATCGTGTAAAGAGTAATTAAAAGCACTTCTTTGAATACTAAATGGCTGACATTGGAATGCCAGCTCAATTTATTTATAATCATTGATGAAATACGTCCACAAAGAATAACAACTTGCTAGAACAATTTTTTTTATAACTGATAATGCCAACATCATCTGCCAAGTCATTGCAATGACTTAATAACAAAATTAATTTAAATTTTAAAAAAAATTTTGAAAGTAACAATTAAAATATCATTTTTTGTGATTACACTCTCAATTAGAAAAATGCGTTTTCCGGTGCACTGGGTCAAGGTCGTTATCCAAGCCCCTCATCTCTCCACCTATACCTTACAAGACATTTAAAAATGAGATAACTTCACACAATTACAATTTTAATTCTAATGTAACAATAGAGAAACTCAAGGATGTAAGTGCAAGACTGAAATCGAAACAAGTTCAAGTTTTCAAAAAAAAAAATTTTCTTTATGATCCCTCATGTCATTGCAACAATTCTAATTAAATTTGCAAAAAATCGATCGTCAATTAGGCTCATATTGTTCAAGTGTCAACATAAAACGCATGTTGACGTTGTGTTAATAAGCAATCAGCGTAATTCATCTCACATTTGGCAGTAATTATTGTTGTTATGGCGGGCCATGGAAATATCAAGGGTATGACACAAAATCTCATCCATCACGAATTCTCGTTTATGACCCCCAACTCCAATTCAATTTATTTGATTTTGCACAAAATTGAAACAAAATGGAGCTTTTTGTAACTCATGATGCAACAAATTTCACACGCATCTAAATCAAATAACAACCTAAACAAATTTCAAATTAGTCTTGTAACCTTTCCAGGAGATTATGATTCGCGTTTCAGTTCACGTTCGTTAGCTTTTCTTTATTCACCTTAAGAGTGTTTAAATACTATAAATAGTACCAATTTAAATGCTAATCTACATCTGGAGTAGTGTAGTAATATAGTAACAATAACGATTTTTCGTGATCTGGTAAATGTAAGAAAACACGCTTTAAATTTATTTCTCCCGTCAGCTTTTAACACCTAAGAATCATAAACATTATACATTATTTCAGAATCGATCAAAGTGGCCTGTGACTTTGTAATAAGTTGGCAACATTGTATATTGCAAAGTGAAGTAAAGTAGGCCACAAATCTGTCAAACGTCATAATTTTATGGTTTACTGTCATATCTCTAGTCCACTTTTTTTAATGTTGCCAACTTAATTCCGTAGTAACAGCTCACTTTGATCAGAAATTTATTTGACATTAAAAATTATTATAATTCTTTTGGATACTCGGGAATGTGTTTTTGTAGTTGTTTACGTCTGAAAGAAGTAAAATAATCTTTTATAATTGAGACATAGATATTGTGCTCGAGGTAAAAGCCGGGAAGTAGGTAATATTACTCCCGTGTGACGTAGAAATGTTTTTCTTCTCTAATTTTAAAAAAATATAAATACAAGGTGTCCCAGCGTGTTGAAAAAGTCCATTATGACCTTTAAATAGTAAAATTATAAAAAAATTATAGGACATTGATAAATATGAATCTAGTCCATCGACTAAAATTATTTTTAACTATACAGCATGTCTCAAAAATAAGTTACAATACAAACTTGTGATTTTAAATGAAACACCATACGCTTCTTAGCGTTTTTGGATGTAGATTTTTATAACAATGTTTCTAATCTAACCTTTTATTGGTCGATTTTGCTTAGTTTTAAAAACAAGATGTTTTTTTGACGTAAACATGCACTTTTTAAAAATTTATTACATAAAAACTAAGACATCTAGAAATATTTTTTTTTACTACCGCAGAGAAGAAGATACAAGCTATCAGATTGTAACATTTTTTTGGTGTGTTGCGTTTGCAAAGTTAAAAAAATGAAGGCGTTTGTTAAAAGTTTAAAAACTTGAAAAATTTAAATGGAACACCCTATTTATTGTTTTTGCATTTAAAAGGTTATTTAATTGTCTTTCTAAAATTATTTACTTTTAGGTGTTTATAAACAATAACTAAAAAGATATTTAAAGTTAAACATTAAAAAAAAAATTACTATTGTTTCAATAGCCAAAAAGTGCACAGTTGCACAAGAGATAGAAGAAATATTACTTAATAATCACATTTGTGTTAAACTGAAACCATTATTCTTTATTTTTACAATAAAATAAGTCGAATTTCAGTATTTATAACAACTTTTACAATCTCTTGATGAATCAAGGGATAAGGGATCCGTGGTGGAATTACTATGGATGCTATAGTATCAACAATGCTCAGATATTGATAGGCATTGTTGCTACAATTAATATTGAATGTTAAATATCTT